TAAAGTTAAGAAGTGATAATTAGCATGGTTATACAGAGGCTCAGTGTTGAGTGTGATGTAAAGTTAAGAAGTGATAATTAGCATGGTTATACAGAGGCTCAGTGTTGAGTGTGATGTAAAGTTAAGAAGTGATAATTAGCATGGTTATACAGAGGCTCAGTGTTGAGTGTGATGTAAAGTTAAGAAGTGATAATTAGCATGGTAATACAGAGGCTCCATGTTGAGTGTGATGTAAAGTTAACAAGTGATAATTAGTGTGGTTATACAGAGGCTCAGTGTTGAGTGTGATGTAAAGTTAAGAAGTGATAATTAGCATGGTATACAGAGGCTCAGTGTTGAGTGTGATGTAAAGTTAAGAAGTGATAATTAGCATGGTTATACAGACACTCAGTGTTGAGTGTGATGTAAAGTTAAGAAGTGATAATTAGTGTGGTTATACAGAGGCTCAGTGTTGAGTGTGATGTAAAGTTAAGAAGTGATAATTAGCATGGTTATACAGAGTCTCCATGTTGAGTGTGATATAAAGTTGAGAAGTGATAATTATCATTGTTATACAGAGGCTCAGTGTTGAGTGTGATGCGTTAAAACGATTTTGGAGCTTGAGCATGTCTTTTTTTTTTACAGTTCGTATGATTGAGTGCTGTAAATTTTAGAAATGTTGTAAAACCAAAAATACATTTATTTGGTGAAAGTTTGTAAGAAAAACTTGGGAAGATACCTGTCAAGTTACAAAAAGATGTTTTCCAGAAAATTACAACTAGTTAAAAGTTTGGTTGCCTTATTTAAACAAGAACAACACTGCCTCTGATAAAACTGTAGAAATGGGAAAACAGGTGACTCGCTGACTAACGGAGACAGTAGATGTATTAGCCAGCAGTTTTATTTTATAGTTTTCATTGATACAATGTGTTGCATGTTTTCATTAGGTAGTTGTAAGGAAGCATTGTAGTGGTTTATCCATTAAAGATTAAAAACGGTATACATTTTTTGACTGCCTAGAACATTCAAGGTTCTATTACTTTTCAAATAAAAGAAATTTTATAGAAAGGAGAGAAAAACTTAGTTTCCTGCAAGTTTCATTTCTACACGTAGCTCATATAGTCTATGTAAATATAATATAGCTTAGAAATCCACGTAATTATCATTTACATAATTTATAAATCAAATTTAACCTAAAATGTACTTTTTAAAAGCATATTCCCATAGTTACAATAATATTTTAACTACTGTAAATACGCTATAGAACCTGTCCGACAGTGTTATCTAAAATTAAACGTTAACACAGTGGTTGTTTTCTGACTAATGATATGTTACTTACTCATCTGTTCCGAAACAAATTAAGACATAGTTATATGCTTGAATTATAAGTACCAGGAGGTAATTTACTTCAATCAGTTAGAAGAAACGTTTTTTTCTCAGCAACATAACTTGATAATTCTTCATTACCAGGAGAATCACAAAAATTATTACAAAATACACGTTTGATTTTAGAAACATCATTAAGGAAACTTTCAACTAACATTAAACTCCGTTTTATTTGATTACTTAATAGATCGTTAACCTGGACTCAGATTAATTTCAGGAAGCATGTTTTTGACAGTTTGACCTTCGCATGCTGTAGAGCCTTCCTGAATATTTATATTAGTCTGACATAGATTCTCTTTAGATGTGATGACCAACTGGCAGGCAGTTGACAGCCCAAATTAACCATGAATGAAAGATATAAACGTTGGTTTTCCAGATATTCTCTCTCTCCGTTTTACACTTTCCATGCATGTTTGTTTACATCAGGATTATGAGGTAAAAATACTAATATTTTTGTAAATCACAGCATGAAAGTTTTAACAGCTGTTTATAGTGGTCGTACTTTTTTGATGTGTATTTACAGAAGTATCATAAAATTTACCTTTACATTGTGAGTTTTTTCCACTGCACATAGAATAATGACGTAACAAAGTTTTGTAATTGCATCTTTGGATTTTGGAAAATATAATCTGTGAAAGTCAGAAGATTCACAATATATTGTACTAAAGGTTCTGTATTATTTTCTAAATACCGTGTTGATTCACAATATATTGTACTAAAGGTTCTGTATTATTTTCTAAATACCGTGTTGATTCACAATATATTGTACTAAAGGTTCTGTATTATTTTCTAAATACCGTGTTGATTCACAATATATTGTACTAAATGTTCTGTATTATTTTCTAAATACCGTGTTGATTCACAATATATTATACTAAAAGTTCTGTATTATTTTCTAAATATCGTGTTTTTTGGACACATAATTATAAAAGTAATTTTTATATACAACTAAAACTTTAATTCTAGTGACAGTTTTTGTTGTGCATCTGTTAACTGTTTCTAAGCAACTGCTCGTGGGAGTGGATACCTAGCTTTTTTCTACATTATAACAATAGTTTTATATTGTTACCAAAATGTGTTTTATAATCACTTTAATATGTTTTTCAGAACAAAGTTTTGTTTTATGTAGTGAATTAAAGAATAACTGAAAGAAATTTTTGTAAGTTAGTTGATTACTGAAAATATGTCACTGTAGATGGACTACAGTCAAATTGTCCCCTTGCAGCTTATGCTGATATTACCCTCACACTAAATCTCAAAATAAAAGTTGAATACAAGCTTACCACAATTTATAATATCAGCATGCTAGTCCTGTATCAGATTGATTTATATGTGTACGAGACTTGAACTGAACTCTTCTTGAGAATCTCACCAGGAACCCAGCCAAACCCAGCTTCCAGTCACACCTTAGTTCCTGGTACCACTGACAAGATGATAAACAAGGATTTGAAGTTAACTAAACTTCACTAGCTTCTAGTAACACCTTAGTTCCTGGTACCACTAACAAGATGATAAACAAAGACTTGAAGTTAACTAAACTTCACAAGCTTCTAGTGATACCTTAGTTCCTGGTACAGCTAACAAGATGATAAACAAAGACTTGAAGTTAACTAAACTTCACAAGCTTCCAGTCACACCTTAGTTCCTGGTACCACTGACAAGATGATAAACAAAGACTTGAAGTTAACTAAACTTCACAAGCTTCCAGTCACACATTAGTTCCTGGTACCACTAACAAGATGATAAACAAAGACTTGAAGTTAACTAAACTTCACTAACTTCTAGTAACACCTTAGTTCCTGGTACCACTAACAAGATGATAAACAAAGACTTGAAGTTAACTAAACTTCACTAGCTTCTAGTAACACCTTAGTTCCTGGTACCACTAACAAGATAATAAACAAAGACTTGAAGTTAACTAAACTTCACAAGCTTCTAGTAACACCTTAGTTCCTGGTACCACTAACAAGATGATAAACAAAGACTTGAAGTTAACTAAACTTCACAAGCTTCCAATCATAGTTCCTGGTATCACTAACAAGATGATAAACAAAGACTTGACGTTAACTAAACTTCACAAGTTTCTAGTCACACCTCAACATAAATTGCTGTTTAACAAAAAATGGATTCACAGCAACATTATTCAAACACATTTAATTCAAGTTCCCCAGTGCTGCTTCAACATGGGTTCGTAGCCATCATTCTTGTGCAGTGGATGGTCTACAGTGTTGAGTAATCATGGCCTTCAGGATTGGGTTCGTAGCCATCATTCTTGTGCAGTGGATGGTCTACAGTGTTGAGTAATTATGGCCTTCAGAATTGGGTTCGTAGCCATCATTCTTGTGCAGTGGATGGTCTGCAGTGTTGAGTAATCATGGCTTTCAGGATTGGGTTCGTAGCCATCATTCTTGTGCAGTGGATGGTCTGCAGTGTTGAGTAATCATGGCTTTCAGGATAAACAATCAACAATGGGATCCATGGATGGCACATGACCTGGAATGTTATTTGATTCACCTCGTTATGTATGAAAGTTTGAAGATTGAGTTTTACCACTACAGCTATTTTAGGAAGTTCCACAGTTGTGTGAACAAATAATCAGACTTCAGAAGATGTACTTAAATTTCTTTGAGTCAAAATGAAAAAAACCCTACTTATAATAATGCCTTTAAAAACAAGATAAAAATATTTCACTTTTTCCTCATCACTTTGACACTGTTAGATACAACTCACCCTTCCTACAGACTATTAATGCCCATTCCAAGCTGAAACTGAACAAATCAAACACTAACACTTCTGAAATTCAAACCAATCTTCGACATGAAAATTTATAAAACACAACCTTTAGTTGCTGAAAAAAAGACTAAAAACAACACAACTTTGTCACTAAAACAGCTCTTGAGAAAGACAGGTCCACCATTCAAAGAACTTAACCAAGTTATTCAACACGATTAAACGTGAAAGCTCACGGATAGGTGTATAAAGTCTGATTTGAGTGGCTTTGTAAATTTAAAATCAACAGTAATGTTAAATGTATGACAAGACTTTCATAACTAAAAATAACATACTAAACTTTTTAAAAGAAACTTTATTCTGTACAGAACATATAGCAATATTACACGTAATCAAGTTACTACTAGAACAAATTCGATAAGTCGGCCATTCTCACGGAATCTCTACTCTACTGCATCGTTCTGATATAACCTACAAATGACGTGACTCTCAGTGTTACCCATGGCTGGTCAAAACTCCCTGAAAAAAAAAAATACTTATTAGAATTTTATAATTCATATGACAAAAAAAAGTGGCTATAGGAGGATACCAGTTGTGTACTGTAAAATAAATATCAGGATATTTATAACAGTATATATAAAAAAATTAACTATACCATTTTGGCTGGTATATATAACACATTTAAATTAATTAATTAAGATTTTATTGATAATTTTAAAATCTTGACGTTTTAGGCTATCAGTTGAGTGAAATTATCTTGTATAACAAATTAACATCACCTTATGTTGTTTACTATCTATAATAAACAAACATATAACACACATAATTATGTTAAATAACAGATTAACAACATCACCTATGTTGTTTACTATCTACAATAAACAAACGTATAACACACATAATTATGTTAAATAACAGATTAACAACATCACCGTTATGTTGTTTACTAGCTACAATAAATAAACATATAACACTATGTCTAATTCTTTACTGGAGCTGGCATATTAAAGATGGTTAATAGTATGTTGGCATAAGTAACTATTGTTGACAGTACTGTAAGTGGTATTAACATTTATGAAGAAATCAAACTGAAACTCCAAATTGTACTACTACTACACATTTATCAATCACCTAAACCAGAATTAACACAACTTGATGTGGAGACGTATATCAATCACCTAAACCAGAATTAATGTTACTTGATGTGGAGACGTATATCAATCACCTAAACCAGAATTAACATAACTTGATGTGGAGACGTATATCAATCACCTAAGCCAGAATTAATGTTACTTGATGTGGAGACGTATATCAATCACTAAAACCAGAATTAACATAACTTGATGTGGAGACGTATATCAATCACCTAAACCAGAATTAATGTTACTTGATGTGGAGACGTATATCAATCACCAAAACCAGAATTAACATAATTTGATGTGGAGATGTATATCAACCACCAAAACCAGAATTAATGTTACTTGATGTGGAGACATATATCAACCACCAAAACCAGAATTAACATAATTTGATGTGGAGACGTATATCAACCACCAAAACCAGAATTAACATAATTTGATGTGGAGACGTATATCAACCACCAAAACCAGAATTAACATAACTTGATGTGGAGACGTATATCAACCACCAAAACCAGAATTAACATAATTTGATGTGGAGATGTATATCAACCACCAAAACCTAGAATTAACATAACTTGATGTGAAGACATATATCAACCACCAAAACCAGAATTAACATAACTTGATGTGGAGACATATATCAACCACCAAAACCAGAATTAACATAACTTGATGTAGAGAGGTATATCAACAACCAAAAACCAGAATTAACATAACATGATGTTGGGATGTTTATACACATGTGACATGAAACACGTAGAGATGTAAATAAGACTCAAAACAGGCATGTATAATGTATTTTCCTTACCATTCGAACATGATCAACACACTGTGAAAAAGCTGCCACTTCTTTAGAACAATTTAGGGGTGTCTTGACATTTTCTTGATAACACTTCAACACTTTTTGTTCATTTCCTTCACAGACAGGAGCACAAGTCTGCTTTCTGGAAAAACATTTAGATTGGCATGATTGACTTCATAGTTGTTAGGCAGCAAATTTAAGAAACACTGCAAGAAAAATTAGATGAATTATGTTTTTATTTAATTTTGTAATGCGGGAGTATACAACCCGCTGCACCAGATCGAGTGTAATGTGCGGGGTATACAACCTGCTGCACCAGATCGAGTGTAATACGGGGGTATACAACCCGCTGCACCAGATTGAGTGTAATACGGGGGTATACAACCCGCTGCAACCGATCAGTGTAATGTGGGGGTATACAACCTGCTGCACCAGATCCAGTGTAATGTGGAGGTATACAACCTGCTGCACCAGATTGAGTGTAATGTGGGGGTATACAACCTGCTGCACTAGATCCAGTGTAATGTGGGGTATACAACCTGCTGCACCAGATTGAGTGTAATGTTGGGTATACAACCTGCTGCACCAGATCGAGTGTAATGCGGAGGTATGCAACCCGCTGCACCAGATTGAGTGTAATGTGGGGATATACAACCTGCTGCACTAGATCCAGTGTAATGTGGGGTATACAACCTACTGCACCAGATAGAGTGTAATGTGGGGGTATACAACCTGCTGCACCAGATCGAGTGTAATGCGGAGGTATACAACCTGCTGCACCAGATCGAGTGTAATGTGGGGGG